AATTTAGATAGGCAGGTGTGCTAGCTGACCTCTGCTAGAGCGTATGCCTAAAATCTAAAGGTTTTTAATGTATTAAATTCTTTATTATGTCACCCGATCGACAATGTCGGGTGACATATTGCTTTCCTCCGTTTCTTTTTCCCTATTATTATTATTATTCCAGCATTTTTGTCCGGAGCGTTCCTGTAAAACTGAAGGACCAATATTAATCAAACTTAAGCATAATGGTAATCACCATATGTAGATTAGCAATCCTACTTTGGCACCAAAAAATGGCTGCCGTTACCATGGACACTGAAAAATTGTAAAAAAATAAAATTTTGGGGTTTAATGAATTATTTGAATATGCCTGAACTTAAAATCATTGAATTTTAATACAAGGTAGTTGTCCACTATATACAAATTTTGGATGATTTTGACAATCATTGGAACTACTATGTTGCCATGGAAACTACAGCAAAAATGTCAAACAATTCAAAATGCTCAAAACTTAATGAAACTTCAAAGAAATGTTGACTGGCATGTGAAGACGTGGCATTTGGCTTTGGAACTTCAAAAATTGCTGCTGTTACCATGGAAACAATGCAAAAAAGGTCAAAATCCTCCAAAAACCTTAAAGAAGCATTTCCTCTCTTAAAATGGAAGGTCAATTCCATTGAAACTTTAATGGTATGTTCCCTCCCATGTTCCAATGTGGCATCTATCATTAAAATTTTTTGAATGGTCTCTGTTACCATGGAAACCAGCAAAAATGTCAAAATTTTCAAAATGCTCCAAACTTAATGAAACTTAATATGATTGTTAACTGGCAAGTATAGATGAGACTTTTGACTTTGGAATTTTCAAAATGGCTGCCGTTGCCAAGGAAACTGCAGGAATGTGATAAATTTCAAAATGCTCTAAATGTACTGAAAATTTTCAGAAAGATGTATAGCAATGCATATATGTGCATTCTCTGTTTAAAATTTTTGAAATGGCTGCCGCTTAGTGGCAATGGGGGAAGGGTGACATCCAATTCTAGTTATAAATGTTATTACTTTAGTACACAAGAAGGTGTGCAGGCTAACTCTGTGCTAGAGCGTTTTCAAGTGTACGAAATTTAGATAGGCAAATGTACTAGCTGACCCTGTGCTAAGAGTGTATGCCTAAGGTCTAAAAGTTTTTAAGTTTTTAAGTTTTACTTGCAATAGTTTTATAAAGAGATATGTTTTATGTTTTACTTGTTTTATATGTTTACCTTTTTAATACACAAAAAAGTGTGCTAGCTGACCCTGTGCTAGAGCGTTATCAAGTGTACAGAATTTATATAGGCAAGTGTGCTAGCTGACCCTGTGCTAGAGCGTATGCCTAAGGTCTAAAAGTTTTTAAGTTTTACTTGCAATAGTTTTATAAAGAGATAAAAGGTTAATCTCAGTTTATTCCCATTTAAGCTATAATGACAATTGTGCTGAAGACTTTACTAGCAGTGTCTGCCATTTAATTTATCTCAAATTTACTCAAAATAATGTTTTTTGATATGGTTTACTTACTTAATTTAAGACAATTACTAGAGACTTTTCTACCAGTGTAGTCCTGACACATTCGTCGTCATCTGTAAACCAGATATTCCATAACGGTCAACCAACTTGTTATGGCGTCCGTAAAATTTTCGAAGTAATGATTTCAACGTCACTACTTGGAACTCTTGGTTTAAAACTTACCTGTAAGCATCAGCCTCCTATCAAGAAAATCATAATAGGAAATGGAAGCTCTTGAATAACTTTTTTTACTGAAAAATATATACTCCATATGCAGGCGCTGCTGTAATGTTGGTACATCGAAATGGAAAGTTCAAAATTGGGAAGCTGAACACATCTCTTTCGTCGTAAAGTTTTTTTCTCAACCGACTCATTGTCAATTTCTAGATGTAAGTCAAGAAAGGAGGCAGACTTAACTGTACCTGTTGAATCCTTTATTTCATGTTCGATGAGATAGATGCGGTCAACATAGCCGACAAACTTTGAATTATTTAATGAAAGGACATCATCAATGTAGCGGAAAATTTTGTTAATTAATAATGCAAGCCTCTATTCGCTCTTCCAAAGAAGCTCCTGTATGAAGTTTGCCTCATATGAATAAAGGAACACGACAAGAAGAGGAGCACAGTGGGATCCCATTGAAATGCCGGTTGTTTGTTGAAAAAACGTCCTCCAAAACGTAACAACTATGTTGTCAATCAAGAAATCAAAGATCTTGATAATGTCAGTTTCAGCGTGGTTTTCACGAAGTGTGATTTATCCCTCCGTAAAACAAAAGTGATCAGCCCAGTTTAAGTGGAACCACTTATGATTAGTCAATGATATTTGGTATGCAGCTGTATAAGTACCGATTATCAGGTTACTGCATATTGATATTGTAAACTATCAGCTGCGAGTCACAATATGTGAGCGCAACGAACGAGTTCAAAAACGCTTTATATTGTGTCGAGCAGCTGATATTTTATAATAAAAATATATATGATGAAAATCTGAAATTGTGTTTGAATGTGTATTTTGCATGACAGAAAGAAGAGATTTTCTTTGTTTCACCAGCAAACCGGAAGATGACTTGATAGTTCGGGTTAAACTTATCAACGTCGGTTCATTCCTTATGACGTCGTTGATATATCCGGGTCAAAGTTATGGGTTAACGTATTTGACGTCGCAAAGCCGTGATATGCAATTTTATGAAGAGCTGGGCAGAGTGATACAGACAGTGGGAACACCGATAAGCATTTGCAAATCTCATTTCTATGGATATTATTTGACTTGACTTTAAAACAATTTTAAAGAATACAGAATGGAAATGGGGAATGTGTACGTCAAAGAGACAACAACCCGACCAAAGATGACAAAAAAAACAACCCAAAGCCTCCAATTGGTCTTCAACCAGCAAGAAAATCTCGCACCCAGAGGCGGGCTTCAGCTAGCCCCTAAACAATGATGTATACTACTTCAGAGAACTGGACGCCCCACTAAAACTACAAAACATATAAATGAACCAAAATAGTTTACATGTTAATGTTTGTGATTAGATTAGTTTAAGGGAAATCACTTGTGATAAGTAAATTATATTTGGTATGCAGTTGTACAAACATTGGCACATCTCATTTCCATGGATATCATTTGGCCCGTCCCCCTCAATCATGGTCTATTGACTTTAAATACTTTCATAGTTTAAATATTTAATAAAATTGAGGATGGAAACGGGGAATGTGTCAAAGAGAAAACAACCCGACCAAAGAGCAGAAAACAGTTTGATTAGGTAAGTTTAGGGGAAATCCTTTATGAAAAATCGATGAAAGTTGCTATACAGTTGTATAAGCATTAGCACATCTTATTTCCGTGAAGATTATTTCGCCCTACCCCCTCAGTCATCGTCTTTGGATCTTTTGCATAGATTACATGTTAAAGTATCGTATTTCCATAAAAATTATTGACTTTGATTTTTTCTGCATAATTTACTTTTTAATGTTAAGCTATTTTAATTTCAACGTTTAATTGCAAATTTATATCAAAATTACAAGCAGGCGACACATATCTCTGTGTCAACAGTTAATTGATATATTTACAATAAAATTGAGAATGGAAATGGGGAATGTGTCAAAGAGACAACAACCCGACCAAAGAGCAGGAAACAGCCCATGGCCATTAATGGGTTTTCAACACAGCGAGAAAATCCCGCAACCGGAGGCGGGCTTCAGCTGGCCCCTTAATCAAAAATGTGTACTAGTTCAGTGAAAATGGACGTCACACTAAACTCCGAAACATATAAATGAACTAAAATTAAAAAAAAACAAAAGACTAACAAAGGCCAGAGGCTCCTGACTTGGGACATACGCAAAAATGCGGCGGGGTTAAACATGTTTTGTGAGATCTCAACCCTCCCCCTATACCTCTAGCCAATGTAGAACAAACAAACTAACAGCAATACGCACAGTAAAACTCAGTTTAAGAGAAGTCTGAGTCCCATGTCAGAATAGGTAACAGAAGAAACTAAGCAAAATGACAATGATACAAACATTAACAAAGGACTACTAGCAGTTACTGACATGCAAGCTCCAGACCTCAATTAAACTTATTAAAAGATTATGTCTTCATCATCTGAAAATCAACTACAATCCCTCCCGTTAGGGGTTTAGTATCATACTATCATAAAATATATGAGAAGAAAATAACCCGCATCATGCCAACAACTGGTTTTATGTGTTTATTTCAGATGCAAAGACCCTATGAGTGAATCAATATTAGTTCCAAAATATGCCATCTTTAATGACCTGACAACAGTATCATAACTATATCCCTTCTGAATAAGTCTGTTTAAAAGTTCGGTTAGCTTGTGAGGTGAATGACGATATTTTTGTGCTTTTTATAGAATATTACCATAAAAGATTGGATGTGAAATACCTGAACGTATAAGATGTCTGCATGTTGATTTATATTTATGAATGATGTCCTTGTACCGATGACAACATTTAGTAAATGTTTTGACTAGTTTGTGATATCGAAAACCCAGGTGTAATGATTTTTCAGTTATACAGAGTTTTCTTTCGTTTAAATCAAATACGTTGTTACGTATACACGACCGAATCAAACAAGTTGGGATATATAATCACAATAAGATGGTGACAAGGGAATGTCACAATCTAAAAATGGATAATTAACAATAGGAAATGAAAAATCATCTCTTTTATCGTAAATTTTGGTATTAAGCTTCCCGTTAATGATATAGATATCAAGATCCAGGAAAGGGCAGTGTTCACTTTTAGTATTAGCTTTATTTAAAGTCAGTTCAGCAGGATAAATCTCTTTAGTGTACATACTGAAGTCGTCATTATTGAGAGCCAGTATATCATCAAAATAAGTTATTAAATTTTTGTGTCAGATGTTGTTTCGATGGGTCTGTGTTGATTTTAGTCATAAATTGTAACTCATAACAACACACATTCTACACAAATATGTTTAGGATTTCATTCAACAAAATTGTGGCAAGTATATCACAAAGTCGTGATATGTAACTTTATTAAGATTTCAGCAGAGTAATACAGAAACAGAGAGATATAAAATATATATCGCATTCATAATTATGACCTTAGTGAAATTATCTAATTATAGGTTAAAGACCAAGCATATTTCATGACGTTTTAGTCCCCTAATGGGGTAAGATTTTTCGTGTTTTGGTTTGGATTAAGGCTACATCTCTTTACATGATTTTTCAAATGTACTACAGCTTTAAAGCATTTCCCACAAAATGCACATAATACTGGTTCAGGATTGTGGACTATCATATGACTCTTTAACTGATCAGCACTATTGAACCCTTTGTCGCAGAGGGGGCATTTCTTAGATCTATGATTTGTATGTATGTTAAGGATATGTCGTTTTAACACATTTATCTGATTAAAACTTTTACCGCACAAGTTACATGTTAAGGGACGTTCCCCAGTATGTATCCGTTCGTGCACTTGTAATTGATGCTTCATGCGGAAACCCTTCTTACAAACTTGACAAAAAAACGGTTTCTTGTTCGAGTGAAAAATCATGTGATTTCTCAAACGGGACACATTTTTGAACATCTTTCCGCATTCCGGGCATTTACTTTCTACATTGCGACAAATGTGCTTATCAAACCACCATTTAGAAAAGTATCTCTGATCACATTTATCACATTTGTACACCTCTGTACGGTCTTGTTTAGCATGCTCGTTCAAATGTAGTTGTAAACCTCGTCTTTTGCTGAAAGTAGCTTCACAGAGATAGCACTTTAAGTCTGTGGGATAATCCTTGTGTGATATAACATGAGACTCATATTTTAATAAGTTTGAATATTGTCGTCCACATTTACATTTGTATTTCATCTCATTGTCATTTGTTGATTGAATTACCTTCGAAGTTGAAGTTTTCTTTTCTTTTAAAGGTTTGGTAGATGTCTTTGTTTTTTCAACATACGTATGCAACTTCCAATGGTCTTGTAATTCGATGCAATCGTTAAATCTCCCATTACAATCTGGACATTTGTATGGCTTGAATCCTTTATGTATTCTGGTGTGTAATTTAAGGTAAACTTTTTCGCTGAAGATCCTGTCGCATATATCACATTCGTACACTTTTGCTTCACAATTACTTAGTTTTGGCAAGGAATTTTCTACAATTAATGAATTTTCCGCCCTATGTTTAGTTAAATGTTTTTGCAAATCTTCTTTTGCGCCGAAGTTAAATCCGCATTCCCCACACTTGTATGAAATATTCGTTTGGGTTTTATCAACTGATTTCCTCTGTTTGTGACGAAACTTTAAAGTATTTGTTCTATCCATTGCTATCAATGAAAACAAGTATAATTATCATTAAACATTTAATGTTATACATATGACAAGCCGTTTACTGGTTTATATTTATTTCATTGTCAAGATCTCTCATAAACTTAAAAAGATATCTTATAAACTGATTTAAATATCTTGAAAAATTAAAAAAAGATATCTTATAAGTTAAATAAGATATCCTATATATCAAATAAGATGTATTATATATTAAATGAAATAATAAATAACAGTTTATAAAGATATCTTATTTAGGTTATAAGATATATAATTTATTTACTGTTAAAATATGTCTTGTTTATTTCAACCGATATCTCATAAACTATATAAGAATTTGTTTTTTTTATATTTCAAAGATATCCTATAAACTAATAATATAGATTGTTTAATTAGATATTTTATTTAATATATAAGATATCGTTTTTAATATGTAGGATATCTTATCTAATTTTAAGTCAATGTATTAATACAACTATATATATTAATTAGTTTATAAGATATCTTTTAAACTTATCAAGATATATTATAAATTAAAAAAGATATCTTATAAGTTATTAGAGGAATCTTATATACTAATAGATATCTTATACACTAATTGAGATATCGTTTATATCAAATACGACATATTATATTAAATACGACATATTATAAACTAAATAAGATATCACTTATAAAGATATCTGATAAAACAATCATAAGATAGTTGATATAACAATGGCCTTATGTTGTTGCCGAAATAATGGTTTCTGATTTATTGCTATATTTGTCAACCTAATTGATGACTGGGTTTTTAGGACACATGCTGAAGGTTGTCCATTCAGTTGTGTGGCATGTATAAATACGAATCGATCCGATGTTCGATCTCAAAGCCATTGAGAATGGGAACGTACAATCCGATATCCCTTCTTGGGATAATGCTACAATGTACAATATATGCCCATAAAGAAACCTTGTTGAACTCTGTGAGGGTCCATGGATGACATTTTGTCTTTAACCATTAATCTCTTTTATAATTGGAAGTCCGAATTTCCCGCCGTCGATTCTGGTAAATTTCGCATTCACTTTATACCTATATTTAAAAAGGAATCTTTTCTTGCATGCAGTTTGTTAAAGCAAGAAATTGTGCTCTATATCAACGGGCTAATTGCGGACTTTCATGGAGTTGTTGCAAACGTACTTTAGTTAGCAGAGAGTGTGACATTAGGCATCGGACTTTAGGTCCCAATACCGATCGGACGTATCTCCGTATTTATACATTCTACACAGCAAAAGGGACGCTTATCACTTCCTCGTGTATTTTTAAGTCGAACAGGAGAAGTCCAGATGACCATTACTCTAACCCAGTCATCCCTTAAAGAATATACCTTGAAGAATAAAAAAAGCTGCCTGTAGACGATTAAGGACATTTTTGTTCTGATGCTGTTAAATACTTTTTGCTTGTGGCTTTATACGTGCAAAATTTCGCCTTGTAAACGTACCTGAAAAATGTTATTTCACAAACAAGTTTCAAGTAACACAATTTGGTATCACACGTTAAAATATATAGACAATACTGTATGTTTACAACATGTTGACCTGTAGGTATGAATAAAATAAAAGAAGACGAGCGATGAACGCCAATGCGACAGCAAATATAATAACCAAAAGACCTATATGGAGGGTAACATGTCATACAGTCTTCGATACTGGTTTGTCTTACATACGAAACAGGTGTCCATACTCTTCCGAAAGGTTGATTTGTCTGTACTCAAATAGTAAATAGTAAAATAACAAAAATACCGAACTCCGAGGAAAATTCTAAACGGAAAGTTCCTAAGCAAATGGCAAAATCAAAAGCTCAATCACATCAAATGAATGGATAACAACTGTCACATTCCTGACTTGGTACAGGCATTTTCTTATGTAGAAAATGGTGGATTAAGGTTCATGTGGATCCTTTGGCTGAAATGGCTGCGTTTTCACCTCAAAATTTACTCTTGAGTACAGACAAACCTGTGCATCGGTAAAAGTTTTAAGGCATAGCACGCCCTAGATAAATAAAATTCAAATGCATTGTATGTTTTAGAAAATTTAAAACTTAACTGGATTTTGCAGTGCACTTTTTTTCGTCTCTGCAGAAGATGACGAAATTAACAAACAGTTGAGTTTCACTTGATATGATCCACTCAGGTACACAGTTTAAATCACCAATTATTGTCAGGTATCTATTGTCCATCTATTGTCCATGTCAATCAATACAGTTCACTTCAATTATTACCTGTGGGGAAGTTCTCAAACCTCTTTCACAACTTAGTTTATTTTGCCACCTTCTGGAGAATTGAAAATAAGTGCACTGCAAAATCCTGTTAAGTTTTTAATTTTCTAAAACATAAGATATATTTGAATTTTATTTATCTAGGGCGTGCTATGCTTTAAAAATTTTCAAGATACACAGGTTTGTCTGTACTCAAGAGTAAATTTTGAGGTGAAAACGCAGCCATTTCAGCCAAAGGGTCCACATGAACCTTAAACCTGGTTTTATAGTTACAGTAAACACGACCCGGCACATTTGTAAACACTTACCTTAGCTCACATCAAGGATACTTTTCCAATTCACACATATATTGACAAATCGATATAATATAACGAAGCAATAATATCTTAAATACGTACCTAAATAAAAACTAATAATAGTTATGACAGCTGAAGTGCTAAAATAAGCTAACAGATTTACTGTTTACCCGGAAGTAGTACATGTACTGTGTGTAACCTCAATAAGTGTGTGTACATGTACGTACCTAGAGAGAAAGATAAATATTTCTACCTGAGGTTAACAAATGACTATATGTGGAGATTTAAAATTATTTGCTTGACTACTCTTTAAACATTTGTTCAATTATGAAATCATGAAACATCAGCTTTATAGTGACAATAAAGTCATACACAATATTGATGGCAACAATTATTGTGTATCATACACGTTATACCGGTATCTATTTATTTATTATTTGATTAGATTGAACATAGGTATAATGTTTTCAAAATATCCTTTTAGTGGGACATGTTCATCATAGTTATTCCGTGATGGAAGCGACAAGAAGGCATTTAAATAAAGTTGGCATGGATCATGAGATTTGCCGGATTTATAAGCATATTCGAAATCTTGAGTGTAACGTTTCAACACATGTCTCATTTTCTAACATGATCTGTTGGAATGCAACACATGTCTGTTCAGGCTGTTGTTTTGATTTATTTTCAATTTTGTACACATTATAGTATCCTCAACTATCTTGCATTTTATGTTGCAGAATATTCATTTTCATCCTGTCTTATGCAAAGTCTTTATTTTTTTTAGTTTTTACCAGACCAAGTTATTCATTTTCAAAATTATCCTCCCCTACCCCCACCCCCAGAAAATCAAATGGTCAACCCCTTAGGTAATATATATCTGTACGTTAATCTGTGCTAATGAGGTGCTATATTGCTGGCTCGATGACACGCATCAAAATAAGGATCCCCTTACAGAACTGAAATGTTTGCAGCAGGTCTGCAGCAGACTTGCTGCAGGTTTGCTGCAAACAAAAAGCTTGCAGGTGTTAACCCGTTGAATAATGTTTGCAGAAGTTTGCAGCTAGCTGCGAACCTCCTGCAAATATTGCAGCTTTTTGCTGCAAGCTTGCGGCAAGTTTGCTGAAACAATTATGTTTGCAGTAAGATCGCAGGAAAAACTAGAATATAAGGGATGTTCGCAGCTAGATTGCAGAAATCTTTGACAATTCTATATGTTTGCAAGAGCATTGCAAGAATTACATAAAATGACTGAGCATGCCTATTGGTAACTTCCTGGAAGATAACGATTTGAAATTTGAAAATGTTGATGGTGTTTGAATCATGTAATAACTAAGTATTCAGGGAGCACTTTAGGTTGGAAATTAAAAGTTTAGTTTTTAAAGACAATATTTGTAAGTACAAATTCTTTGTAGAAGTGCAAACATATAAAAATCGTCTCCACAAATTTATATACCTGCATGAAGGTTTGAAAAACATTTTCAAACATGTTACACATATACAGTACTGTCAAGTATGTTTCGAGAGTATAACTTAATAGATATTATGTTTTTATAATGCAAGTTGAATTCTGTGACAATATTAATTAAATAGTTGTCTATATGCACACAATAAATTTAAAATAATTTGTTTTTGTATTTTTAAATAGATAGTCATGCATGCAATATCATTTGAGCACGTACTTAAACAACAAAAAAACTTTAAATTAATTTAAAAAGGTATAAACTTTTGCTATGCTTATTTTGCAAATGATAAAGTATTTGAATTATTGTATGTATGTAAGTAACCTAACTTTTTCAGAATTTGCTGTGTAATATATATAAAGTGATGTATATTATACACAACATGACATTGGTTAATTGTATAATGTATGTAGTTCCTGCAAGTTTGCAGCAAACACGCAGGAGAAAGATTTATTTGAAAATAAATGTTTGCCGCAGGTCTGCAGCAAACACGCAGCAGGTCTGCTGCAAACACGCAGGTGAAAGATTAATTTGCATAAAAATGTTTACTGCAGACCTGCAGCGTATTTGCAGCAAACATGCCGCAAATACAGACTGTGTTCGCTGCAAGTCTGCAGAAAGTTCGCTGCAGGCCTGCAGCAACTATTTGCAGGAGACAGATTTTTTCAGTAAGGGTCGAGATGTGATATATTTGCCGATGAATTCATTTCAAGAGTACCATACATAGGTTATAACAATATAAAGTTAAAAGTGGACATAAGTGTTCTAACTCTTTTATGTCATTTTTTAATAACAACAGACAAAAGAACTATGTCAATTGGACCTGCTTTAATACGATTACTGCCTTAAATTTTTACTAGATAACATTTTTGTTCGCCATGGAGATTCCGTATAGCGTCAAGTTATCGGAATTCTAATGGGGACCAACTGTGCACCACTTATTGCGGGCCTGTTTCTGTATTGTTATGAGTTACAATTTATGACTAAAATCAGCAAAGACCCATCGAAACAACATCTGATACAAAAATTTAATAACACTTTTAGATATTTGGATGATATACTCACTACAAAAGTCAAAAAGTCTGAAAAGACCAGTTTTTGTCTAAATTTGCATGAATTTTTACTCGACATTCTTAATTTGTCTGAATAATTTTTAAAAATTCTTGACATAGTATGAATTTGTCTAATTAGGTTCTTGATTTTTCTTGACAAGTGTCTTGACAGTATGAACATTGTCTTAAAATTTCTCGACACTTCCTGTATCATCTGATAAGAGTCTAGATTAGTCTCGACCAATTCTTGACTGTCTTAAATTTGTCTCGATCTGTCTTGACATATTCTTGACATTCTTAATAATGTCTGAATATGTCTCGACATATTCTTGACATTCTAAATAATGTCTGAATATGTCTCGACACATTCTTGACAGTCTTAAATATGTCTTGACACTATCTCAACAGTATAAATTTCGCCTGAAATGTGAACAGACTTATTCTGCACTGTTTATGACATTCTATTGCTGTTATATACTCCTTTTTATTATGGCTAAACTAAACTTTGAAGAATCAAGGATTAATTTGGTATAGTAAGATACCCTTTTGGTGCAACTAAGTTGGAATACCCTGAATAATCCCCCATGTAGTTTAATTTTGATTTATTTTTATTAAACATTTAAGTAATTGTTTTCACTTGGAATATAAGTCGAAGGTATTGACAAACAGCATTTAGATTTTTGCCGTTCGCAAAACTGCCAGTCAAATTTGCTTTTCTAAAATAGGTGTCTTGTATCTCTTTTGGACCCCACAATTCATCTTTTGGGTTTGTGTGGCTAAAAAAAGAGGGGGGGGGTGTGCTTTCGTTTAGGTCAAAGAATTTGATCCCATCTTGATTCAAAAACCTTATTCATTTTTTAGAACAACCCAAAAACATTTTTTATTCAAATTTGAGTGTTGAATTTTATAATTTTTTATCAAAAATAAATATTTGTGATAACTCCTTCCTGAAAAGAAAAAAATGTTTAGATCTATATTATGCATGTCTGTTTGAGAACCATTTCATAAGACCGATGATTTCTATAGAAATCATTGATGGGACCCATTATAAATACATTTTTTTATTATTCCTGGAGTAGATAATAATTTTCTTTTAATCTTTGGGAATTATTCAATTTGTTTTTATGTTAAAATAATTACTTATAATTTTGATGAAGAAAATCCATTTCAATTCAATTTTTTTTCATCAAAATGATGATTTTCATTTTCATCTATCAAAAAACTTTTTAAATTGTAGTGGCATGGTCGGTCAACTGATAAGGTATGGCTGATTACAGGTAAAGCAATAACTTCTATTTGACAGTTGCGTGTACTCTGGGGTGTGGAATACCTTAATTTTATGGGGAACATCCTGTCCATGTGTAATACTTAATATATTCCAACAGATGACATTACACAAATTTTTCTTCTGTTAAATGAATGATTTGTATATCATCATAATTTGCTATTTATATAAACCACATTTTGGTATAATAATTATCATTACACAGTCACGTCTCAGTCATTACAACTGAACGGACGTGCTGGGTCAGCTCTCCTTTACCCGCTATCTTCGATGAGGGTTTACAGTTAGATGGATGAACGACTTACTACTTTCGATGACAGAAACCAATCCAACGCTGTACAGACTACGTTAGGCTATAATCCGCGTAGGGGCAAATTCCCGCGTCAACATACACTCCAAAACCCATTATGGATGGGGGAGTGGTATGCCGAGTGACGTCCGAGGGCTGTATCCTAGGTGTTAGATGATGGACCGCGATTTCACTGTCTCACGACTTTGGTCCTGATAATGCTTCCTGTCATCGTTAATACTACGTCCGAGACTCATCTACCAGTACTCCATCATCGAGGTTAGCGGGCTGCCAAGCTGACCAATCTGGCCCTGAAAGCAGCCGTTGTGAAGACATAACATCAAAATAGTCAACAAAAGAAAAACCAAAACAACTCACAAAACCAAGATGGCGGCCTACCAAAATGGCGTCCTCCACCTGTTCCTGACCGATGGCACAAAATTATTTAAACGCTCACCAAACGCCTTCGGGCACCGAGCCGACCGTGCGAGGGATGTATATCCAGTCAAGGTCGTTTAAAACTTCCATTTGTTGATAATAATTATTTACCATATCAACATTGAATATTATGAATGTAGAATGAAATATGTCTACAGTATGATTGGTTTGAATCATTTAATTTATAAGATTTAGGAATCAAAATTAGTAATTATTTAAAAACCCACATTGAAATTGTTTTATATCAACACACCCACATTTGAATTATTTTATACTTTAGATTTCATAGCCATATTTGCATTTGTAAAAATATTTATATACCCAAATTTTCAATTATTTTACATACCCAACTTTTATTTTTGTTGTAAAGAAGTGTAACTGGAAACAACAGTATATCGTATAAAGAGAAATAAAGATTAAAGTTATATCATGAATATTGGTCATGATTTGTAAAACTCAGAACTGTCAAGTAAATTTAAGACACGATTCAAAATGTTCAGAATATGTTAAGCCATACTGATAAAAAATAAGAATGTCGAGAATATGTCGAGAAATTTCAAGACAGTATTCAAATGTCAAGAATTTGTCAAGAAATTTTAAGACCATATTCAGAATGTCGAGAATATGTCGAGTAAATTTCATACAAATTTAATATAAATGAGAATTTGTCAAGAAAAATTAAGACACAAGTCATACTTTTGGAGAATGTCGAGTAAAAGTTCATGCAAACTAAGACAAAAACTGGTCTTTTCAGACTTTTAGACTTTTGTAGTGACTAGTATTGGCTCTCAATAATGACGACTTCAGTATGTACATTAAGGAGATTTATCCTGCTGAACTAACTTTAAATGAAGCTAATACTAACATTGAACACTGCCCTTTCCTGGATCTTGATATCTATATCTTTAACGGGAAGCTTAAAACCAAAATTTATGATAAAAGAGATGATTTTTCATTTCCAATTTATATTATCCATTTTTAGATGGTGACGTTCCCTTGTCACCATCTTATGGTGTTTATATATCTCAACTTGTTCGATTCGCTCGTGTTTGTAATAACGTATTTGATTTTAACGAAGAAACTTATTCAGAAGGGATATAGTTACGGTACTGTTGTCAGGTCATTAAAGATGGCATATTTTGGTATTAATATTGATTAACTCATAGGGTCTTTGCATCGGAAATAAACACATTTATTCTAAAACCAGTTGTTGGCATGATATGGTTATGTTCTTCTAATATGTTTTATGATGGTATGATACTAAACCCCTAACGGGAGGAATTGTGCTTGATTTTCATATGATGAAGACATAATCTTTCAATCATTTTAATTGAGGTCCGGAGCTGGCATGTCAGTAACTGCTAGTAGTCCTTTGTTAATTTATGTATCATTGTCATTTTGCTTAGTTTTTTTTGTTACCTATTCTGATATCGGACTCGGACTTCTTTTAAACTGAGTTTTACTGTGCGTATTGCTGTGTGTTTGTTTATTCCACATTGGCTAGAGGTATAGGGGGAGGGTTGAGATCTCACAAAACATGTTTAACCCCGTCGCATTTTTGCACTTGTCCCAAGTCAGGAGCCTCTGGCCTTTGTTAGTCTTGTATGTTTTTTTTTTATTTTAGTTCATTTATATGTTTTGGAGTTTAGTGTCACGTCCATTTTCATTGAACTAGTACACATTTTAGTTTAGGGTCCAGCTGAAGCCCGCATCCGGGTGCGGGATTTTCTCGCTGTGCTGAAGACCCATTGGTGGCCTTTGAATTTTTTCCTGCTCTTTGGCCGGGTTGTTGTCTCTTTGATACATTCCCCATTTCAATTCTATGTTTGATTTCCTTAATGAATACAAATTAAATGAACTCAAGAAAGGTGATAAAGAAAGAACGACAAGGATGATGATGATATAAGGTTCGAAATTTATAGAAAATTATTTGTTATTAGAGATCCTAACTATGATGTTAATATGGTTAAAAACAAATCACAAGTGTTGGAGTATACATGTATATGTGATATTTTGATATGTCAACTATAGTGAAAAAACCTACATGCTATATGAAAGGGTAAGAACCATCACTTGTCACTGAATGTCAGTATTCAGTTTACAAATAGAACAAATTGCCTCAAAACACTGAATTTAAATACTGGTGCCAGTGATCGTCATCATATGATACCTACTAAATTACACAAATTGTGTAAACCGCGAGATAAATTATAGAAGTTTAAAACTTTTGATGTTAAAAAATATATTAATGGTCTTGATAGTATTATTTTTGTACAAGATTCAGATGAATGTTATTGTATACTGATATAAGCCGTTAGTATGAGATGATATCGAAACTAAAGTCTCGAGAAAGAAATAAAAAAAGCAAAAATAGTTAAAAGAAAATGAAGATCAGGAAATATATGCTATATAGAGACAGAAGAATTCTTCTAAAGAAAGATGGACTGGATGTTTGTTTTATTTACTATTTAGATTATACCCTATTTTTAATCTTGTAATGCTATGCATTTTACTAGCTTTCTAATCATATAGAAAAGAAAGGATATGGGGTACGTATCCATCAATGACCGTGATAAAATCAGAATATGCACAGCAAAATCACATAAAGCAAAGGAACAGCGCTTAAATTGCTGTTCTTCGTCTCAGTGAGGCCTTCAACACAGAGCAAAACAAACCTCTCACCTCACTGCAAGTTTACGTTTTTAAGCAATAAGTGTTTTAGCTTTAATACAGATTCTCATGCTTATACATCTTCTTATTTTTATATTAATTATCTGTTTACTACTACCATGTTTAGTTATAGGGCTTTATTATATGTTGTATGTTACTTAACAATTTAATATTGCATGATTGCTTGTATTGTATTGTTCTGCCTTGCATGTCGGTTAAGGTAGATTAACTGTATACCGCCCTCTTGGATTGTAAAATAGCAGTACACAGTCGGTCTAGTTCTTTGCTTAAACCTGCAAACATCTATCTAGACAGATTGACAATTAATGTGCGAGACTGTTAGTTTAAATAAAGAAAAATAAGAGTTTAATTGCATTATTTTACTGTTTTAACAAATACTAAATATTTCTTTTTGCTCGATGCAATTTTTCAACTTAGCCATATAAGAGGAGATAGCTCTTATAAATAGTAAAACTTTTATACTGATTTTTAACTTGTAGCAAAAAAACAAATTCGGAGACACAATTTTTTCTTTTTATTTTCTTAAAGCATAATATGAGGCAGGCATTACCTGTGAAAGGGGACGAAGTCTATATAAATTATTGTTTTTAATTCAGACATATTTTAAGTTCTAAATCTGTTAAAAAGGAAACGGAAATACCGTAACGTTTCCGATTTTGGTTCTGTTGTTAGGGATTTTAGTTGTGACGTTATTTAAGTTATGACCTCATATTCAATGTAAACAAAGAAACGCTATTATCAGGTAACGTTTTTTCATATAAAAAATACTTAGAAATGAAATTGTTGTGTTCCTTCCTAAATTTTACTGGACTGATAAATATATATTTCACTCAAAATCTCATGACAAACGAGACCGGAAGAAGGAAGTAGATTTCTGCGCAAATGCGGGAATTAAAAAAAAGTACAAAAAAAAAGTTAACGATTTTGAGTTCATTAGTACAATAAAAATTTGGGGAAATTTTCCCGATTTTTTTTTTTTTTTTTTTTATTGATTTTTCTACTGTAATAGGGGACTTCGTCCCCTTAATATGAGGCAGGCATTACCTGTGAAAGGGGACGAAGTTTGTATGAATTAAATCTGTTAGAAAAGAAACGGAAATATTGTCACGTTTCCGATTTTGGTTCTGTTGTTAGGGATTTTACTTGTGACGTTATTTAAGTTATGACGTCATGTTCAATGTAAACAAAAAAACGCGATCATCAGGTAACGTTTATTCATATTAAAGAAAAAGAATTATTAAAAATGAAATTGGTATTGTGTTCCTTGAGTTTCTATATTTTACTAGACTACTCAAGGTCTCATGACAACGAGACCGGAAGAAGGAAGTAGATTTCTGCGCAAATGCGGGAATTAAAAAAAGTTACAAAAAAAAGTTAACGATTTTGAGTTCATTAGTACAATGAAAAATTTCGGGAAATTTTCCCGATTTTTTTTTTTTTTTTTTTTATTGATTTTTCTACTGTAATAGGGGACTTCGTCCCCTTATTATAAAACCTATCTTTTCATATTTTATTTCAAAATTCTATCTCATAGATTTCTTTTATTTACAAAAAAGTGTTGTTTTTTTTCATGAATAATCTATCATGCAAAATTGGGCGATTTTGGACGACTTGTATATTGAAAATAGCACGGTGACCCGTACTTTTGATTATATTTTTTAAAAAAGCATTGCAAAATATCCATTTTGGCTAAGTATAAGAAAATTCTATCTGAAGAAATATATATAAAGTGATGATCCACCTTAAACTGAAGCTGCCAAGACAGTGGAGCTTGGTTATGTCATTGTTAATTTGCATACCATGCCTTCTCTAAATAAAGCTTATTTGTTTATTTAATTTTTTTTTTTCACATTGTAAGAGAAGACGGGATATATATATATATATATATATATTATCATTTTTATTGCCAATGAGTAGATTTTTATAATGAAAAGAGATTAGTAATTTTTAATTCTATTCCGTTTCGCGTGTAGTTCCGTTCCGTACTCAGTTCTGCTTTTATGCAATGTTTATTTACTTCCGTAATGGCTGAGCAGTGGAAAATACGAAATCGCGTTCGCAAAATAAAAAAATTCCAACGTAAATCTAGCTCAGAGGATGACAACGAAGACTTAATATACACAGTCAAATGCAAAGGACTATTGCCTTCAAGAACAACGCAATGGGATCTCGCATGTCTTCACTCTTTAGGCATCTTTTATAGTGACAAGTCCACACCACTGTCTGATTTGCTGGACAGTGTGTATAGTAATATCGGAGTGTTTAAACCATTAACTGAAAAAGAGAAAGAATATACAACAAGTATACAGGACAGTTTAGATTTCTCATTTTCAACCCAGGAAATGATAGACTATTGCAGAAAATATATGATTTCTCCAAATGAAGTAAATCTTAATGTGGCTGAAAAAGTAAGAAGCAATTTGGAAAGCGATATGTTTACAAAAACTAGGTAAATACAGAGACATATATACTATACTATACATGTCTCTGGTAAATATGATCAAAATTTGTTGGCAATTATAACATTGTTGTTTTCAGTTCGTTATAAAATGTACAATACAAGCTTACAATGTATTTTTCAGTGTAAGTCAATATCAATGGAAGCAAGTCAACTCATACCATTGCAAACTCATACCATGTCCACTCATACCAGTGTTAACTCGTACCACTGCGAACTCGTACCATTGCAATCTTGTACCACTGCAAACTCGTACCATCAAAAATGTACAATCTCACTAATGAGAGACAAGAAGACAAATTTAGCGACATTAAAGTTTATATTCTATTAAAACAATGAATTTATAGAAATAATCAATTAGTTACAGGTTATTATTGTTTATTATAAACTTTCAAATTTTGTTGCATTTAGTAGCTATACCGTCTTGTAGTGAATTTTTAGTAAAAGATATTATTTTAACATATTTATGAATCTGAACATTTCATTACAATCCCAGAATCATTATGGTGTCACAACAGTGAAGTACAAAATGTAATCTTGATAAATAAATAATGTAAATAAAAACACATGGCAATTACTCCAAATTACAAGAGCACTTACATACAAATGTATATATACACTGTATCATTTATATGATGTAAGCTGTAAATATATTTATTATCTGAAACATATCCTCGATAATCATGATAATAAAAAAAAACTTATCTTGAACAAATGTTAATTTTTTTCTGTCAGCATTGATCAGTATAATAAAATACATGTATATTAAAAAACACACTTTAATGCATGTTTCTATATTTATCTATATGAAATAATTGATATTTAGATTTCTTGATGCTAAATTTGTTTTCTTGTCACTAAATTATACTTCTTGACATTTCTTGTTGCTAATTAGTGAGATGTAAAATATATACATGTACATGTACGAATGTGTTATGAATCGTTTTTCCAAATATCTATACCAAATTAATTGATTTTACACAATATACGAATGTTTTATAAATTGTTTTTGCAAATCTTTATCAAAAATTTATTAATTTTCTTGAATTTCTTAGTTACTACAATGTAGTATCACTAGTATTACTTAAATTGAATTGTTTGTTATCTTTACGTTACTTTCTATTACCCTTCTACTTAATAAATTTAATTCCTTTACTAAATTGTGTGATTATCCGTGTAGTCAACGTGTTTAATCCAATTATTAAATTGTGAATTTATGATTGGTGTTACAAATGTATATAATTTAACAGCTTAGTATTAATTGTAGAATAAATTTGTATGTTTACATTTGAAATGTCTATTACAAAAAAATCCTCATTATCATGATTATCAAAACACAAACTGATATCAATAGTCTCAAAGCCACATTTCTCATAAAATGGGGCATGTTTGTGATGTTCCTCATAATAATTGTATTAAATTTGATTTGATCTGAGAACAGTGAACCACACCTCTAATATAGTACAACAGAAGTACTCCAGTTGAATTAACTGAGCTGCTTGGATGCATAGAGCAAGAGGGAAAGAAATTGACTTGGGATCTCTGTTTTCGTCATACATGTACAATTAGCCAATGAACAATCAGCTACACATTGGTCATTGTGACTTTCACATTATATACATCATTGTACATTTTACAGACTTCTGAGTTATTGAGTTAAATTCAAATATATATACATTCAACATTTTAATACATGTAACATCATTTGAGTGCATTTGCGCGCATTTGTATAACTTGGTATGAGTTTGCAATGGTACCAATTTACCTTGGTACAATCTACGAGTTGACATTGGTACGAGTTTGCAATGGTACAAGATAACTATAATTCATTATCAATCACCAGCAATAATAAATTATCTTTGAATGATCATGATCAGAAATATGTTAAATACAGTCAGAGGTCAAAAGTGTTTCACCAATCGAAAATTACGCTATTATTGGGTACAGTGATTTCCAGAGAACTCCCAAAACATTCGATATGAACCTGAGAACCCATAGATATTAACTGAAAATTTGATTTTATATGGTGTTATACTGCTTTTATTGATAAATATGACTAAAAATTTGGGTTGTTTATATTAAAGTACAATTTAAGTACAATTTTAACTTGTATACCAGTATGACGGACAAGTACATGTATGTTATAAATTTTAAACAATAATCTTATTTATTTTAATTAGGAAAATTTAAAACTACAAAAGGTACCCTGGCTGCACAAAACATGGGCATACCTTACACAGTCCAGGATCAAGTTTGAATAATTACGTTTGTCAGAGTCCAGATGGGAATTTGCATATAAGACACACAAATAGAATTTATGAAGTTAATTGTACTTTTATTGAGTAAAAACATGAAAAATGCCATATTTCTCAAAATAATAGACTTTATTATTTATAAAAGCAGTATTAATGAATTTACTCCATATACATGTACAGTAAAGTTTTGGGTGATATCTACATTTGTATCAGTTCTTGGGTTCATATTGAGTTTTTGGGAGTTCTCAAGAAATTGTTGTACCAGCTATTATTTTATATACAATAAAAAAAATAAGAAGATGTGGTCTGATTGCATTGCCAATGAGACAACTCTCCACAGAGACCAAATGACATACATTGTATATAGAAGTTAACAACACATTTTTAATAAAAATTCTACTGAAGATATATTCAAATCTGAATTGAAAGATTTTTTTTCATTAATAAATACATAAATGTCTACAATTTCTTGCAATAACTGTTTATTTATGAAATATATATATGATTTATATTTCAAAGACAATCACTGTTTAAAGGCAAATGTGAATTTCTGCATGAAAAAATCATAAACATGTAGATATATCACATTTTGTCATGTATACATACAAATGTATGCAAATATGTCTTATGTCTACATGTCTATATTAAGAATGAAATTGAAACAAGTTGTAAGTTCTTTATACCTTAATAATAATAATTACAGACACATGGTAACAGGCCTAGGGCTCACACTACTTCAGAGGTGTAATACCACCATTGTTTTTCCCCTATTAGCTATAGTCTTTGTTAAATTTGCTCTTTTCAAAAAATTATGCAGAAGTATCTTTGGTTTCAAATAAAGAAATACTTGGCATGAGTAAAGTTTTATCCTGTCCAGTACTATAAGCAAAATTTCACATGACATTTCATTGCATATAAGAAAATGACCATAACTTGAAGTTAACCAATCAAATTTTCACCCCTTTTTTTCCTGTGTACAAGCTTTAGTAACCATGTAACCTCAAGTTTCCAAATATTCTATAGAAACACCAAATAAAAAAATAATGGTGCTTTGGAACACCCAAGATATATGTTTATGACTCAGAAATTTTTTACTGCAATGAAATGTAGGATTAATTTCATACAACTGTCAAGTTCAAGGGAATATTTTTTTTTTTACCCTTTTAAGTATGCAACCGGATGTGATGTACTATGATTTGATGGTTTACACCTTCAGAATCATAGGGAGAAGTGACTTCTCTTTTTGAAACTGATAGGGAGAAGTGTTGAGACTCAAAAGAAAAGTGCTTGTTCGCTCGTGGCCCTACACTGTTTGAATTTTACAATAATATAAAGGGCCATATCTCATTATGAGAAAACAGATTGCGATACAGCAGTATTGTACATTTTGAAGCAAGCAAGCATTTCAGTTTCATGAGTCTCACAATTTCTTCCTATCCAAATCCATGAGCTTCCATGATGAAAGCAGAAACACAGAAAATCATATGGTGGATGTTTTTATTTCATCACAAATGAATGAGCATGCTGAGGAGGGCTAATACAATAATACTTTGGGCACAGTGACAATTTGTTGTAGACGTAAACATACATGTAACATGATCATGCATATGGTGATTAGCTATTTCAAAATATTGATATTTTTGTGTTTTCAATTTCAGGGACACACTTCGACCTTATACAGTGGGGTAAGTACAATATTGTGAATGCAGACATACAAGTGAACATGTTGGTCTTGTAGCAATGTTACCAAAGTATTACCTGGGTAGGAAAAACTTTGTGGGTTTTACCAGGATGAGCAATAATTGGTAAATCTGTGTACAATAAAATATTCCTAAAAACAAGCCTCTTACTGTGACGTGACTGTGAGTGTTGCTCTCTACCTATTGCAGAATTTTTATTCAAAATTCTGACCGAATTGCAGCCAAACTGTACAACTGGTCAGAAATTTCAACAAACTGCTGTAGAAAACCACAGTCAAGACATGAAAGTGCAAGGTGATAAAATAAAGCATAATCCTATTAGACTTTTATTCCACTTTGTTGGTGTTAAGAAATTTACTTAATAAATTTCATACTATCATTATTGAAATTGTCATTCAGAAGGTGATAGGTAGTAATTTTTGAATTGCTAAAAAAAGTCCAAATTTAATTTTTTTTTTACTATTTCTTCTAACATGGTGTTTATCTATGAATGCTACAAAGCTTTCTTTAAATTAATCTCTAAAATACTTGGTGAAATATACCTTAATCTTTCATACATGTATGTTCTGTTGAAGTTTTAAAGGGAGATAAGATCAATATTTCAAAAGATCAATGATTTTAGATTTCTCCCATGGAAACTTATTAACAACGTATTGTAATTTCACATGTATAAATTATATTTTACTGAATATAACATTTTTTAAATCAAACTGATGTCTGCTTCTTATGAATATAGAAGGCTTTTTAAAGAAAAAATTGTATAAAAGCTTAGTTTGGAGATTTTTTATAGCAATTCAAAAATTACTACCTATCGCCTTTCGCATGACAGTTATATAAAAACATCTATACAAATTCTGACAACGATTTTCATTATATCAATGGAGTGGAATTAACGTATTATAGGATTGTAAGTATGCCTTATTTTATCACCTTGCACTTTCACAACTTGACTGATGTTTTCTACAGCTGTTTGTTAAAATTACTGACCAGTTGAACAATTTGGTTTGATAAAACAAATTGCAATTTGGTCAGAATTTTTAGCAAACTGCAATAAGTGGAGAGCAACACTTTCAGTCAATTCACAGTAAAAAAAAACTTAAAGTAATTTTACGAAAGACTGATTTTTGGGCTTATAAGTCTTTAAAATTTTTGTGAAGACTGTAGAATTCATCTCCATAATCATTCCAGATGTTGTCCATCAGCTTATAATTGATTGATTAATTTATTCATGCTTTTCCTTTGAAATTAATACATTAATGCACAAGGAGAAAATGTCACTAAATTTTTCCTTGGAACTATAATAGAATTATAGCTTATTCAATTGATACCAATGTCTGTGCTCCAATTGTGTATTTTATGGCTATATATTCTATGTTATAGCCATGCTACACATTATAAATGCTTTCTGCTAGACAAACATATTTGTACATGTATAATTTCTGGTCAATGAAACACATCATGGTTATGGAAGTGGAAGCAGTGGTATTTTGTTTTGCTCACACATTGTTGTCAATATAATGGAATTCTATGTGACTGTCATACAAGTGAGAGGTTAAGCTAGCTATAAACTAAGGTTTAATCTGCCATTTTCTACATAAGGAGATGCCTGCACCAAGTCAGGAATATGACAGTTGTTTTCCATTCATTTGATGTGTTCGAGCTTTTGATGTCGCCATTTGATAAGGGACTTTCATTTCTGAATTTTCCTTGCAGTTCGGTATTTTGTTTTGTTTTTGTTTTTTTTATACACAATAATTCAACATGTACATTGTATGATCATTAGTTCAAAGTGCATTTTTTTCAGACTGATAGAACAATTTATTAGAAATGTACACCATATAATACAGATTATGAGATGTAAGCAAGGATTGTTGAATGTGCCAGAGAGAGTATTTGTAAATTTGTTTTGCAACTTTGTGAAGATGTGTAACCTGAACCCAAGGTAAGTTTTAAACCTTCCCAAATTCCATCTAACTGTCCTGCAAAGTAACATAATGGAGAAAAAGTGTCACTGCTAGGAAAAAACAAGTAAATGTTTGCCTAAACCTTGATATTTTTCCTTAATTATATAAAAGTTGCAAACCCACATTTGGCATTTCTTTCAGCAGTTCAACCCTAGGCTAAATATTAATTTTCCATAACATGTCTGTTAAATATGTCTGTTTTTTGAAGCCATGGGACATAGAGTATTGTCACTAAATGATGGTACATAGTGTACCAGTAATTTAATTTAACTTAATAATAATTTTGTAATATTAGTGAAGTTTAATGGGTATATTTATTTTAATATAATATATTGCTATTTAAATTTAAAATACTTGTCTTTCGTGTAACAGTTATGAAAAGAAATTGTGAGATTGCAAAGAATAATAACCTGCCTGACCATTTGACTCAAAGCTGCTAAAGAAATGATATAGAGCACAACCTCACCCAAAACAACTTTCATACTTTTTATCTTCATTGTATTTCCTTTGTATTACCTGACAAATAATCATTTTGGGTGATGCCTGAGCTCTATACTAAATTTTTCTGAAATGATCCTGATATTACACAAACATAGGGAGATGTGGTATGATTAATAGCAAACAACAATCTACCAAATACCAAAGGATGAGGATGTATGAAACTATGTGTCACCACACAGCCTTCAACAATGAGCAAAACTTGTACTATAAAGGCACTGGCATGACAAAATGTGTATTAAAAGAAACCCAAAATCTTTTATTTATAATAAAAACAATAAGCAAAAAAACAAATATGGCAGACTGCAACCAGCAGTTATAGGCCCTGGCTAGGAAATGACACAACATGGCAGATTAATTAAAACATGCACTCAACCTTCTGACCTGGGACAGTGGTGTAATAGCACATCATAAGGACAGACTAAAAATCAATTTGACATTGCTGTCATCAGATTTTGCCAAAATTGAGTAAATGGCCACTATGACATCACAGTCAAGTTACATCATCAAGTTCTAATGTGATTTTTTAACCTATAATGGTATCATTTAAGGTTTAAAATTTTGGATTATTTACAGGGCTAAATAAGTGTAAAAATGTACCTTCTTTTGATTTGTCATACATTATCTAGTTCAATAAGTATCATGAGTAATGCCAGCCCCTTGAAGCAGGACTAGTTGTTATGAATTTTTGGTATTACTGTAAATTCAGAAATTATTGCAAGGTTTTTATTAATGCTAATAATGCGACTGGTTGAGAATAGCAATAATAAGAACACACATTTTGATATCTGATACATTTATTTGTATGATGATTCTGCTGAAATCGCAATAATTGATCTTGCATTTTTGTCCATTCTTTGAAAATCGCAATAATAAATGCACGCAATAATTTCTGAATTTACAGTACTTCCAAGTTAACATTGTGTGATCTGTGTTAAAATATCTACTTACTGTTTGTTGAAAACTTACAAAAAATAATTTCTTCAATGACAAGAGTGGAAGCATAAATTGTAATCGATCTTATACTATCCTAATTTTCAGTGAGGGATCACTTTGGAAAACAGATCAAAATCTTCTTCAACAAAAGGTTTCTTCAGAGGCAGGTGTAGTTATTTTGCCATGTAACCTAATGGAGGCTAATGATTATCAAGCTGTAAATGTAGTTTCAGTTGTGGATGTAAGTAGAGAAAAAATTATTTATGAACGTATCATATTTATAACCATGTATACATGTACATGATACATTTTATTGGATTATTTCATTACCAAAGCCTGCATACATATATGTCCTGTGTGTAGAAGTATTGAAGCTGATTGAGGATAAACATGAATAGAAAAATTAAACAAGACAAATCCGAACTATATTTGTTATTGAACATGCCTGAGGATACCCACAGGCGTAAATCTAATTATACACTTTAGTTTTTAATTCAAATATTATAGATGTGCATATTCACAGGACAGCTAACTAAATATTGAAAAACACATAGCCAGATCCAGGGGTCCAGGGGGGGGGGGGGAATCACTGAAGCATGACTGGAGCGCCGCCCCCCCCCCCCCCCCCCCCCCCATACCCCCCCCCCCCCCCCCCCCCCCCCTGGACCCCTGGATCTGGCTATGTGTTTTTCAATATTTAGTTAGCTGTCCTGTGAATATGCACATCTATAATATTTGAATTAAAAACTAAAGTGTATAATTAGATTTACGCCTATGGGTATCCTCAGGCATGTTCAATAACAAATATAGTTCGGATTTGTCTTGTTTAATTTTTCTATTCATGTTTATGTATCCGCCACTGAAACATTAAACAAGAAAAAAATATGGCATATTATTAAATACTCAAGTCTATTAACCACAGGCTATTGCATTTAGGCAAATGTTGCATATACACTTTAAGCATATAAATAGAGTTAAACTTGTTTGTGAGTGCTCAATCTTCCTTTGGACTATAAGGGACTGTTGGCAACATAAACAATTTAACAAAATCTCTGTAAAAAGTCATCTTTTTGTTATGGTAATTTTGATTCCTAAAATGAATATCAACTGACTTACCCTCCAGAATGTAAGTATAGATATTATAGGTGTTAAGTAGAGTCAGTTACACTGCTGAATGTTTGAACCAAATGAACTTAAATCTTAAACTGTACCTTTCATAGACAAAATAAATGGATGGTGGATTGAAATACATTTTTAAAAGTTTAGGGAAAAAATATTTAATTAACCATTTTTTCCACGATGTGATAGTCTTAAGGATCAGAAAATAAACATTGCAGCTCAGTCAATTCATTACTTATGGTAAAAGGCCCAAAATTGTCATGCTAGAAGCTAGTTAACTCATTGAATGGTTATTAAATTTATAAATCGTCCTGTTATTTCTCTTTGTGAAGGTTCTGCATTTGGTAAAGAGTATTAAAAGCCTCAAACTGCATTGCTTCAGTTGATCATTGGTTCATTTTCTCTAAATTTTTGGCAGTTTTGAAGGAAATTTCAAGAATAAAATCTGAATAATGTGTGGGACTTGGTTTTTGCAGTTGAAATTTGTAGCCAGGTTGGCAATACAGTCTAATTGTTTTCTTTTATATAAAAAAAAAGGACATCAGTAAAAGCTGAAATTGAACCACATCATTAATGTTATCCACTTTTTGTAGGTGATAAAGTTGTCAACTGAAAATTTAGATACTTCAGAGAGTCTTTCTTCATCATCATTGTCAGAATCATCAGATATTAACCGTGAACACAGTGCTTGTCAACCATCAATCTATAGAAGAGTTTGTAAAAAGCTTCTTGGACAACATGGTGCTGAACTTGTTGTGCACCATGAGTTGTTTGGAGAAAAATGTATTAAAAATGGGAAAATATACCTGAGCGGCATGATTGTTGTTGGAACACAGGTAAATATACGTAATTCAAATTTCTGAAGAATACCATACATAAACACCCTGAAAACTTTTATTTTAAGCATCGTATATTACATAACTGCATAAAAGCTGATTGGATATTAGAAAATGATCATAAGAAAACAAATCTTCCAATAAATCAACAATCTAAAATCAAACTGTGTGTCAGTTACATTTTTTTTTGTATTTGACATGCCTGCTTTTATTACCATGGCTGTTGTTGGTTTGCTATCAGCATCAGCCATAATTGGTTTTCATATACTTTTGTATAAATCTGGCCATTGGTTTTCTCTTTTAAGTTGTTAGACATTTTGTCATTCCTTAGCCTTTTCATAGGTTTTACTCATTGTTGTAGACTTTTCGGTGACCTGTGATTGTTCACATTTTTGTCCATTGATCTTTATCACATCTCCTTATTTTAAAATGAAAATCTGCAAATTGAATGTCAGTGCAATAGTTAAAGATATTCAGATATTTAGAGGACATGATTAACATTGAATGACACAAAAAAAACCAGTATTGAATATTACATCATACCAAACAATGCTAGAAAAATCTAGAAATGAATATCTATATATAACATAATACATATTTATTAAAAGGTTAACTCCTAACTATCCTACTGCCTGTCGATACTTTTATTTTGGCATTGCACAAGTCATGTCTTCTTTGACCCTCCATGACATTAAAACACTAAATCCCTGGGATGTGTTTTAGTTGATTTTAGTCTCTGATGCATGATTTTTTATTATTAATTGTTTTTGGCTTTTAGCTAGCTTTCAGTAACTGCCAGTACTCTCAAATCGTACTTTCGTGTTAATTTGATATGTTGATACAATTTGTAATGCAACTTTGTTATTTAATGTTTACTTATTTTGTGTTATATCTCGTCTCACTATTTATAATATATACCACCTTCGATAAGTGTTTGGTATGACGATAAATTATCACTTCTGTTCTCGTACTATGAACAACAAAATTATTTATTTTGTAAAAAATATTTCCATACTCCACGTATACCTTACAACAAAATTATTTTTATTTACCTGTGTACGTTATTTGTCCAAGGTTATGGTTGTCTTTCTGATATTGTTTTACATCTACCCCCCCCTTTTTTTTTAATTAATTTTGTATTTACATTGTGTCATAGATCAAATTTTTTCATTCAGTGTATGTTCACTTGTTTTTGTTAATATGTCTTTTGATTG